GTGATTTTCTGGATTTTTTCCCCCATTTCGTCTCTCATAGTTGAGGTATACCTATGATGAAAATTACAGGCCTCTCTCATCTTTTTAAGTGAGAGAACTTGCACAATTGGTGGCTGACTAAATACTTTTTTGCCCCACTGTAAACTGACAGAAAACCAATTTAATTACAATCTAGACATTAAAAAATGACAAGTGTAAATTGTACATTGACTTTGTATATCTCATTCATATGTTAAGAATCCTATCCCTGAATGAAAGGTGGGATATAAAACTAGTAAAGGTATACATTAAGTTATAGCACATCTGTGCCATTTTTCCTAAACTCAGATATCTTCCACAATCATATAATCTCAAACCATGCTAATTGAGTTGTTGTCTGACTGTCTACAGAGGTGCAGTGTTGGGGAAAATACCTAGGCCAGGCTGTGGTTGAACACTCATATGGTAGTAGGATATTTTAAATTTGAAGCAGGTTTCTAGCTGAAGTTCTCATTACCGGTAGAGTGGGCCACACTGAAGCTTATGGTAGACCTTTTTCATTTCCTCCTGGTAATTAGTAGGTTGTGTGAGTATGGTGCTGGGAGGTGTGTGGAGAAGCTTTGTGTTACCAGTAAGGTAGCACAGTTTAGGTATCAGAAATAGTACTTTACATTAAGGACCATTTGATCTTGCTGTCAGAAGGAAATTCTCTTTTTTTGTGAAACTATTGCAGGTATGTTAAATACAACTTGGTTTTTCCTTTGTTTAAAGATTAAACATGTCTCCAATACAGCTGTGCTCATGGAATTCTGCCTGATATGCCACAGTGACACCATTGAACTGTTTATTGCATGGACTCTTCAGCAGCCCCTCAGTGCCTTCTCCTGAAGAGTATTTTCTATAGAGCCCAGACCCCTGAATAGATTGGGCACAGCACCTATTGGCAAGTTTTCCATTCCCCAAGAGAAATGCATGTGAAAGCCTACTTCCATATGCATCTGACCTTCTGATCTGGATCAGGCTGACATGTCTTTGCTCATGTACAGTGCTTTCCATTCAACTAAAATCAACATCTATTCTGTGATATATTAAATATCAGGAAGAAAATAGTCACATATCCCCTTAATGTATTACTATTTTTTGTTTCATTGACTATTACTTTGTTTTGCTGTACTGAACCGACTGTTTTGTCTCCTTATTCCACCACTTTGGATAAAATGACAATAACCATTAAGAGACCTTCTAATTTATACTATTTTCTGGCTCACTGGCCTGTGTGAATTGGGGCAATGAAGTGTTATGTATAAATAAAGTGTTAAGTGTGAGGAGATGGATTTGGCCAAGTGGCTTGATCTAGACCCTCCAGTTAACCTACTGAAGCAGAATGGCATCTGTTAATCCCTGCCTCCTTAAAGTGTTCTACTATATCCTCTGAACCAAAGGAATTGCTTCCAGTGCTCCTGCATGGAGAAATATGTTTCAACAGGCATGCTCTTTTTTCCATCAGAGAAAATGTGTGCCAGTCAAACTCACATGAACCAGGACCCATTGCACACATCCACCAGTCAGGGAGTGCAGAGAGCATCTCCTAGTAGCGCTGTCAGTTTTACCCATGCCTCACCTTTTCACAGCAAGGAGGAATAGAAAGCCAAAGTCAATCTTGCTAGTGCTCTGGTAGGAACTGCAGCAAGATCAGTTCCTACTTTACCTGTGCACCTCCCATTTCCCAGTTCTCCATAGAGAGGAAAAATAAAGACAAAGTAAAGCAGGAGTAGGAGTGCTGGGTGGGGTGGGGGGAGAGAGAGAGAGGACTTTGCTCAAGGCTCTGTGAGCTGAAAGGTCAGCCTGGCAGATGTGAGCTGGAGGTTGAAGATTCATATTTACTATGACATAAGATTTTTGTGGATCATTTTCATAGAAATGAATGCTTTGAGAAACTCTTTTTAGAAACTATTTGTCTTTGAGGTGTCACAAAACTATTTGTTGTTTTTACTTAAATAGACAACACTATTAGCCTCCTGGCAAGTTATTTAGATTACATCTCATGTCCATGAAAGAACTTGAGTAGTAAATGTCAAAGTAATCACCTACGTACTATTAAATATGTTTGAAAGTGATATTTTATCATAAGAAAAGTAGAAAGGCAGGGCTGAAATTGAATATTGACTGAATTGGCAGTAACCCCTCATTTAACTCAATGAGATTTACATCTATTTATGTGTGTGTAAAGAGAGACAGTAGAACTTTTGAACAGAATAATTTTATATCAGAGGTTTGAATAGTGCTTTTCTTCAATTGTTTTTATGTCATTCAGGCTATTTATTTTAACATAAGATTATTGTTTTTCTAGAAGAGAAAGTAGAAAAAAGCCAATGCAGGATTTGCATTCATGTTGAACATTCTGTGTACTGTCAAAGGTTGCATTTTTCTGTGTCAACAAATATGTGGTTGATGCCACTGAGAACATGCTGATTTATAAACTCTGGTTTATAAACCACAGTGGCTGAGTTCACAAAAAAATCTTATTTAAAAATTGCATTATGGCACAGCAGGGTGTATGAGCTCAGGCAGTGATCCACTTGCTTTTGGGCTTACTGTTCATTATGTTGTACTGTTGGTTATAAACACTTTAAAGAAAGCAAGTATTTTCATTAAACGATCAAATTATTAGTAACAAAATATTTTTTAAAAAAATGCTTCATAGCATTTTTATTGCTACAATAAAAAGGTATGGCTCCCTTTCCAAAGACTTTCTTTTTCTTTCATTATCCATACATTTAATCCCTGATATATCTTTTGTTTTCCAGATTTGCCAAAGCCAAGTACACTGTTTGTGGCAGAAAAAGGATTGGAAGCTAGATTACCCGATTCTTGGTGCTTTAAAAGCCAGGCTGTTCCTGTTCTTTGAAGGTATTTTTCCCCAAAATGGCATCCTTATGTTCAGTTTCAGACATTATTGGCATTTTTTATAGATCAATTTATGGAATTTTTTGTGGGCTGTCTTGTTGGGCTTGGCTTTTTGATCTGTGGATTTAGAAGTTGCCACAAACTGCCCAGGATCTCTGGACTGGGGTAATAATAATATGTTTGTGTAAATAACTTAATTAAAAGCTGACTGTTTAGAGATTAAGGTATCAACTGGAGGTTATGGATAATCCTTCCTTATAAATTTTACTATAATTCTAAATTTACATTCATGTGTTTAATGTTATCCTGGTTAAGGTCTTTCATAATATCAATGATGAAACCTTCCTAGACATTCCCACTGGTCTTCTCAGTTTTTGTATTGCTTTGCAACTGACCCTCAGGGAAACAAGTAGGCTTCTCATTCCTTTTCTCTTCACAGCTGGAGAAAGAGCAATAACATTTTGTTAGGTGTCCCAATAAAATTGAGCCAGTGGAAGGATTGCTAGAAGGATAACCAGCCAGAGATATTACGTTGATGGCAGTAGGCAGTGAGGCATAATCAAGAGCTGCTTTAATGCTTTTCAGAGTCAGAAACCCAGCAATCAGACACAGATCTTTCAGTCAGTACTTTGGATAGACCACAGAGTAGAGCTGGAAAAATGTTCTGCAGCCCGAGAAATGTTTCTTTTTTAAAACAATTTTTAGGGAACCAAGAACTGCAAGGGACATAGCAGTGATGAAATGGTGTCACTAGAGGGGGCAAGTCAGGACTTTTTTTTTTCTCTTGGAGGTTAAGGTTTTGAGGGGTTTTGAACAGTTAAAATTGGTGTAAAAAGCCTATTGGAGGCTTTAAAAATGTAACAAAAAATACAGAAAATCACGACACCATTACTCAGTTGTACAGTCTCTGGAGGCCACAAAAAAGGCTGAAGGGCAAAAGCAGCCTATGGGTGAACCAGCCTTGCTGAAAAGAGTTCATGGATTACTGTATTTCCAGTTCTAGACAAACCTTAGAAAGGAAAGCCTTAAAAAGTTGATTCTCTGCTGGAATTTTAGCACCCTTTCTCTCTCTGCTTGGATGTGTTGGCAAGTGGGCATTTGAAAGTACAAAGCTTTGGGTGAGAACATTAACCCCAAGACAGTTTACTGTCTTGAGTCCAACTTTTGTTGACTACTTTATCTTGGTGTTAGTGGTCTCAGTACTGACTCTAAGAAGTCATCACCCTTCAGGAGTTTAAACTTTTTCACTGTCAGATAAGTAATACCTTATTTATAGCTAGCAGAACGGATTGACTTTAAATCTAAAATGTGTTTTCAATATCTGTATATCCAAAACTGAGCTGAATTACTGTTACATGTGTCCACTAGAGGTCAGGCTTCTGCCAGGATTAAATATTTTGACACTTGCATAATTTTTCTACCTATGAAGTGTTCTGTTTACCAGATCTAAAAGCTAGTCATTTGTTTGAAAGCAGAATTTGTGCTTGGGGGAGAACTGCATGTTGAATTGAAAGGAGAATGGCATTTGTGTTTTATGACCTATGCTTTTCTAGTTTCAAGTCTTGGCCAAAGGATACTGGAGAAAATTAATTTTCACCATTGTAGAAAAATGGGTGTTGTTATTAATAACAACAACAACATTTAGGAAGCTCAAGGCAGTGTAGATAGGATTATTCTGTATTCTGTGTTCACAACAATCCTGTGAGGAAGGTTAGGCTGAACAATAGTACCTAGGCCTGAATCATTCAGTGAAATATATAGTCAGGTTGAACTGGAATCTAAACATTCATGGTCCCAATTAAACTCTCTAATTACTATGTAATACTGCCCCTCATTGTTTTCAGTAGTGGACATGTGGTAAACATTAACATAAATATGGAAAATATGCATTGAGATTGTTCATAGACTGCCAGTTGCCCTCAGCACACAATAAGGTATGCCATTGTATCCTTAAATGACTTATCTGGAAATGTCAGATACATAATTTAGCACAACAGGAATTAGAGGACCAGATCCATGAGTGATCCAGTGCATTCAAAAGGTCATTAGTTACAACAGCTTTTACAGGGTAGACAGACCTGTGTTTCTATTTTCCATTCATTCAGCTCCCCAGTCTTTGAAGAGATTTAGTGTCTATTCAATTTTCATTTCATTTAATATATAATTATTAATTTATGTATTTAATAAAAAAGTAAAAACAATGCAAAAAAAAAAGAATGGAAGGAAAACGGGGAGGGGATTAATTTCCCAAGATAAATTATACACTATGGGCTATGTGTAGCCTCCAGATTCCCCCCCTTTTTTATTTGCCATCCCAAGAGCTTCCTGAATTCCAGCTCATGAAATTTAGTATCAAACTGCTGTTGAATATTAGGCAAAACAAAATTGATAAGTTATCAATCAATTTTTATTTGGTCATAGACCAGCAAATAAAACAAAAGAATCATAATTAATTAGGATAAAAAAAGAGAAGCGCTCTGTTCAAAAGTGATATTTCGGTGTCTCCCTCCAATAACTGCTATTGGGAGGGTATAAATCTAGCCAAGGATAAAACTTTTCTGAATTTCAGAATCATTATACAGCTTAGGTATCTGGCTGGTCAGAGAAAATGTGCAGAATGGCTTAATAAGATGTTTCTAGGTAGGACTGATAACTCTGATTGCAGCTCTAAATTGATGGCCCGTTGTTTGAGATCAGCTAGTGCACATTCATAGCCCACGAAAGCGATGGCTGTCCATGTAAAGCCATAAGATTGCAATTTAGCATGTATTGCCTGGCACCAAGAAGACTGAAAGCTATCGGTCATAATTAAAGGGGCCAAGCCAACTGGAAAAAAAAGAGAGCTTAAGCCAATAGGAGAAAATGTAAATCCAAGCAGAAGTTTCTATTTTAAGTAGGCCAGCCTCATGACAAAGCATCACATTTGGAATGCAGTGAGGTACTTGAAAAAGAGTAGCTGGGCTCGGATCTTAGCTGAGAAGACTTTAATCACTGCAGGTGTATACTGAGCTCCTTTGAAGAAGTAGAAAGATTGTAAAGCTGATGCTGTTTTTAAGCTGACGTTATTGGCATGGGACTTACAGTTGCCCATAGCATGAAAAAAAAATCCCCAGATATTTAAAGGTCTTAACTTGCTCTATTGGGCAATTATTTAGCCACCAGATATGTGCCTTAGGGCACTTAGCAAAAACCTTGGTTTTGGAATAATTAATTTCTAGCTGTTCTTGGCAGTGCTCATTAAGTATATGAAGTGCCCGTTTCAGGCCAGTCTGTGTCTGAGAGAGAGCAACATGGCGTCATCTGCATATAAAAGAACAGAAATGTGTCTATTTCCCAATAATGGTGGATGAAGAGATGAACTATTCAGTTTATCTATGAGGGAATTGATTTATAGATTAAAGAGAAAGGGAGCTAGAATACACCCTTGTCTCACTCCTCTCTTGACTGGGATTTCCTTGGTGCAGTGTCTGTGCATACTACATTGCACCTTCATCCAGGAGTTGATAAGCTATAGGATTAGCAAAAACAGGAAAACTGAGACATTTCCATTTTTCCTCTTGGAAGCTCCTCCAATTGTCTCATAGCCAAAATATACCCCCCCCCCAAAAAAAGGGAGGGAGGTTCCTTCCCTGTCTGCCAAGAGACTGCCAACCTCAATGTAAAATATAGAGTACTGTATTATGTTTTTGAAAAAGCCACATCCCATGGAGTCTAGACTTACCTTCTTGTTCTTTTGGCAAAGCCAGAGTTTGCTTCTAATCTTTTCTGCACTCCCATAGTTACTGGTAACTAAAGCAGAATCTTCATTCTGGCAGGGAAGGGGGAAGCAAACTTCCAGCAGCAGTTCCTTGTTCAGATGACAAAGATGACAAAGGGGAGTGGGTTATTGTTCCCCTTGCTTGGTGTTCATCCTAGGAAATAATAAGTGTACCTTTCCAACAGCTCTTGATCCCTGGGCCAATAGGAGAAACAAGAATGCGGACAGATTCATATTTGGCGCTAAGCCATCATATGGTTTATTTGCTTTTGACTTAGCATGACCTGCGAACCAAGTGACTATGGTGTGTTCATATGTCAACCAGGCTAATATCGTTTATTCAACAAATCATGATTAAAACAGGCCATAATTTAATGCAATATATGAACCTAGCCTATATTTATCTTCTGGTGTATTGTCCTAGGGCACTTGTAAATGAGTAGTTTGTGTGGTCAATACAGAAGAATTTATATTATTTTTTGTAATATTGACAGTATTATTGTGACACCTTTGTGCGCCTTTTAAGTCAGGGGTAGTCCCCTAAATTCTGTCTTTTCAAGGGTTTTGTGAACTAGCATAGAATATAACTGCACATTGTGCCAGAGATGTTGCTATCTTCATCTCAAAGCGCAGAAGACACAAATTATACCTTTGCAATGTTTGTTCTAGGAATGGATAAACTTCTGTGGTTTCACAGAGCTGTGCATTTAAAAAAACATACTGTAGAAAGACAAAAATGCTTCTGTTTGGGTTCTGTTGTTAACTATATCAAAGTCAAGGGAGCTTTACAAATGGTCTAACAGGAAAACTCTAGTTCATCATTTTGGAATTAGAGAATTGGAGAGCTGAAACAGCATAAAAGCACTCTAAATAAATAAATAATATTCCACAATGTTTCTTAATTTCTAGTACTGAAAAAATCATAATTACTATCAATATACCTGCCCTTCTCTTTAGTGATGGCAACAGTTTTTTTAAAAATGGGAGCCAGACAGAAGTGTTCATACATGTGCAATCCTAGGGGGTGTTTAAGTGTGGTTTGTAAGTAAGTTGTTATATCTTAGCATGCTGTACACACCTGGCCTATTGTGGTTTATTTCATAAACCAGTAAAACAAACTTAGCAAGATATGTGAATTCACACTGTGAATTGCATACAGGTAGTCCCCAGTTGAAGAACAAGTTCATTCCCAAGGTCTGTTCTTAAGTTGAATTTGTATGTAAGCCAGAACAGTATTATTGTATAA